TGTAAGTGTTTGACAAATTAAATAAATAAATAAATAGGGCAAGCCCTGTATGCACATCTATGAAGTGCTTGCTAAGGAAACCCCTGAGCTGCTACAGCTGGTAGTCAACCCAATTATGCTATGGGAGAAGATAGCCATAGACTTCATAGCGGAGCTGTCTAAGAATGGTAGGAACACTATAATATGGACTGTTATAGACTTGTTCTCAAAAAAGGCACATTTTATACCATGGTCAAAGCTCCCTTCAACCTGGGTCTTAGCAAAAAAGTTCATGCAACACATCTACAGGCTGCATTGAGTCACAAAGTGGGTTATCTCAGACTGGGATATAGTTTACTGCAAAGCTCTGGTGGCACTTTTTAAACTTGATAGATTCATCCCAACTCCGCCTTTCATCCTAGTACTAATGGGATATCAGAGTGAGCTAACTCAATGGTGGAGCAATACCTATGATGCTATGTAAACTATCAGGATGGACTCTCTGAAAGCCACATAATGTGCAAGGCATAGGAAAAGCAAGGGAGGTCCAGAAAAAGCAAGCAGACCAAAAGAGAGTCCCCCGAAAGAGAGTTCAAGGTGGGCGATAAAGTGTATCTGTCCATAAAGTATTTAAACCTAAGACAGCTCTGTAAGAAGCTGGGTTCCAAATTTATAGATCCTTTTCCCATTGTGCAGATTATTAATCCAGTGACAGTAGAGTTACAGATGCCAAAGAGTCTTAAACAGGTCCATCCAGTGTTTCATTGTAGCCTGTTAAAGCCCTTCTGAGACTCTAGGCTAAGGCCAGTTGAAGGATCTCCTCCACTTCTGGTTCTCATAAGAAGCACTATGAAATTAAAGATATCCTGGACTCTAGGCACCACCAAGGAAAGTTGCAGTACCTTGTGCAGAGGAAAGTAATTTTCTTGAAGTCTCCAAATTGTCCAAACTCAAAAGTTGGCCACAATAAGCCAGAATTCTAAAATTCTGAACATAGATATATAGTGGAAAACAATAGCTTCCATTTCCCCATGGTTTTAGTTATTGTTTATTTCATAGCTGAAATTTCCACAGCACAGATATTCCCATTTTTGTTCAATTGTTATTTTACATTTTTCTCCTTTTCTAAATTGTAATTTAGAATTACTTGTGCCCTGTTACAACTGAATTCTGCATATTTAAGTGATTCTCCTTCAAGTTATTTTACTATACTTAGAAATCACCCCAATGCAAAAAGATGCTGCAAATAACCTAACAATACATAACCAAATCAAAATTGATAGAAAATAAGATAAAATGCAAAATAGATGTCCACAATCAATCAACTGGGATGAAAGGCAAATTGAAAACAAATAGCTTTAATTTGTTCGTGAAGTTGTATTAAGGTGTAACTACACAGCCCTTTTGGGGTAAGGAAGTAATCAAGTAGGGCTTGTAGGGATACTACAATGAAAATCTGATGTTTCACTCATGTGTAATTCCTAAAGAAGTAAACTTTCATCAGGCCTTATCTTGACAGCTGGCCTGGACAGGTCAGGCCAATTTAATTCTGGCTAGGTGTTGCCTGATATATCCCAGTTTAGTAACATTTACAGCTGGAAAGATAACAACCAGCACTTTGAATTGGATCTGAATGCTGGTTAGAAATACAATACAAGAAGAAAACAATAAAGCACTCCCTTTGGAACAATCACATTCACAAAATTAAAATAGGCTTATAAAACATCCTCCTTGACCTCTTGTCTGGGGAAGAACTAGGTCAGTGATGTTGAACCTTTTCGGCACTGAGTGGCAAAACTGGAATGTGCATGCATGCATGTGCATGTACACATGCCGGAGTGCTGGAAAACTAAAGACCAGCTGGCTGGTGTGTGCATGCCATTTTGGGGGCCATTTTCAGGCCAGTTTTTCAAGACATTTTCAGGCTGGTTTGGGGGCCACTTTTGGAGCAAAAATGGCCCACAAAACATTCTAAAAACACCCCAAAAACTGCCTGAAAATGGCCAACAAACATGTCATTTTCCAGAGTGGTTTTCAGGCCATTTTTGGAGCAAAAATGGTCTGAAAATGCCCTGGAAAATGCCCTGGAAAATGCCCTGGAAAATGCCCT